AGTGATTGCCTGAAAATTAGCTTCATGCAAGACACCAGAGGCTGAAAGTTCAGAAATTAGAACGCTCAGAATAGAGACTCAAAGGCTTTAAAGCTTTAAAAAACACACAGGTTCAGTTTTTTTAGAATAAAATACAGCATGGCAACAGGCCCTGAGTCATTGCGTGTTGGAACCTGGCCTGTTTAATTATAAATAATTAAATGCCACTTTGACATTATCAGCAATGGGCTTGATGCACACATAACAATACTGTTTTTAATTCAATTAAGTATTCAAGATTGTACACTCAACACCACGCAACCCACAAAAAGCAATTATTATAATAATACAACTAATAATCATTTTAAAATAATACTAGTCTATTGTTAATCATGTTGTACCTGTATTCATGTTGTTTTGTCTTCGACAATATATTTTAATCCATTCCGACGCTCCGTTGTGTGATATAAAATAAAATATATATACAGTATAATATTTATATATATATGTAAGTTCAGTCTATATATTCAATCGATATATATATACTGTATATATATCTATCTACATATACAAAATATATATAACTTCAATCATATACATTGTAAATCAATATGAAATAAGGTTGGAGAGCCAAACATTGACCTCTATAGCCAAGTTCCTATGGTAACAGACATCCTACTTGCGTTCCTGCTACTGCAATCATATTTGATTTAAATGATTTTTAAATCATTTAAATGATTTAAAGTTTTTCACTTAACTGTCTCAAAAATACAGCTCTCTCCCTTGCCATTCTACTGTAAGTCTGATGAATTCAGTTAACTATCTCCCTCCCTCTATTTCTCAGGAGCTACTGTATGTGCCAACACAGAAACAACTTTGTAGTGTGTGTGTGTGTGTGTGTGTGTGTGTGTGTGTGTGTGTGTGTCTGTACTAACTGTATTATACAGGGTGCACTCTTACCATGGCAACCAAGGCCAAGAGCTACACAACAGAATCTACACAACAAAGGACAGCGCGTTGACCTATTGTAATGCAGTTTGTGATGCAGCATGGACATAAATGGTTTTTCAGAAAATATGAAATGATCAAACTGGTCTCAACAGGCAAATTTGATCCTGCACTATATTATATAGCCAATGAATTCAACCTGCAATGACAAACAATTGAAATGTTGTAACTGAAAACAATGTCAGGAATCATCAAAAAAAAGACACACACAGTAAAATCTTCTCCACACTTCACTACTGTATCAACAACATCACCACACATCAATTACAAGTTCAACCAATGCAATTAACAATTAGCCGCCTAATTAGCAATTAACTATGCAATTACATCAACAATATATTAACAAGACCTTGCTAATAACTAGCTGGATTCTAATTAACAGGGGGCTTTGATTGCTGTGGGCTTCAATGGGTTTTTATTCTCTAATAAAACACGTGTGTTAAAGGAACTGAACAACGGTATGAATCCATGTGGCATCAAACACAATCAAGTTCAGGACCACACACGCAGTCAGGGCAATGTGATTTACATTAGTTATAATATTACCATGGGTTTGTTTTTCTAGTATTGTATTTCATTTCAACAAATACAAACCCTTTCCTTCTACCCTCCTGCTTTTTACAGCACCATAAACATGCAGCGCAGCTCTTCTAAGAATTCCATTCACACACAGTGCATCTATGGGCAGCACATTATCTACGAGAAAGCCACAGCCATCTGGAGCAATTTGGGGTTCAGGATCTTGCCCAAGGACACATCCGCATGCGGAACAGGGAAGACTGTGATCGAACCGCCAACCCAGGGATTAGAGGATGACCCGCTCTACCCCCTGAGCCGATGCCACCCCAAAATGTGGTCATATTTTGGTTTTATTGGAGTGAGGAGAAATGCCATGGTTTGTCTGTCTAACTTGATGATAGCTTGTCAGTGTTACCGGCCCAGCCTTCCCCTTTAATAAGACGGCCATGTGGGTGTGTCCCTCTGTGATTCACTGATCTAGCTTCCGTTTCAGTTACTTTTGTAAAGACAGGAACTGGTTTATAGAACTTGACATCCTGCCCATACTTTAACCTCTTTATTTATTTAGAGAGAGAAATAGAATGTACATACATTCATCTTAACAGAACAATAGAAATGGATGGATGAGATCATATTCATCACTCATGCCCCTTGGAAAACGACTGGAACACAGCATCCAGAGTAACTACACAAGAGCTGAAGAGCATTTGTATTTGCATGACACAAAGTACATGTAAGAAGTGAGTGAGACAGAAAGAGGGTGGTGATTAATACCTAACAAGAGAAGTCTTCCTTTTTTCCTCTAATATTTCCTGGCCATTGTAGTGGTTTTATGGTCCCACTGGAACCACCTCCCTACAGTTAAAGCCACTTGATTGACTTTTACGCCACCGCAGGGCAAACCTCAGGGGCCCAAATCAGGAAGTAAGGAGAGAGAAAAGTGGATTAGGGGGTAGCGGTCAACCTTTAGGAATTCAATCAAATCTGAAACGTACTAAAAAGGAAAAGAGCCTCAAGTAAAGGGAATAGTTGAAATCTCAGCTGCCTATTTTATGGTTTGTGCTGCTGTTTCATAAATAACAAGGGGACGATTAATTCACCTTGAAACTAAAGTCTTTTATTGCGCTTGTGATCCTTTCTTTTGAAATCTGGAAAGAATTGACCAGTATGGAAAACACAAACACACACAAACACACAGCCTCTCAGAATTCAGTCAGTTATTAGTGCACTGATCTCAATTAAAGTCACAAAGAAATGACACAGTGAGAGCTGTATAAGCATGACTGACAACACACACCAAACCAGGAGGACCATAACACTGTGCAGCCAGCTCAGGAGAGGTTTTATTCTGTCTCTTACATATCTATTACTTAATATTGGCAAGATGAAACAGACTGAATATCACAACCAAGTGCAACAAATCAGCAAAACAACTGTGGCTTTATAGAAGTGGCTCTGAACATAAGACTGAACATAAAACTGTTGATGGAGTGGAATCTGGTCAGTAAACTGTCTTAATTCTCTGTCGTGCATTTTTTGGTCAGGTCCTTTTCCAAAGCAAGTTGAATAAAATTAGCTTTGTGCTTGTGAATGAGGTGCCAAGTGACACTGAACTTTGCGTCAATGAGCATAGTTCATTGTGCTAAGTAAAGCAGTACATTCAATAAATGCAAAGTTTCACTCTCCGAAGCAGTGCAGCATTTCCCCATGAACTGCATCAGCCCAGCTGAAATCTGGTTTTCTTGTGTTCTTGATCTCTCCTAAACAAAACATCCAAGTTTCTGTCGACAGTGCACCTTCTCTTACTTTTGCAGCAGTCAGTAGCCTCTGGCTGCTTTGCACACTCCACAACTCCATAAACATTTCCTCAGTGTGTGGCGGGCCCTAACACACTGTGTACCGGTGTTAACAAGCTTGACGACTGTCTAGAATTCTATAAAGTGGCTAAAGAATGGATAATGTCACAACAGCATGAAGGCTAATGCTGGGATTACATACCACCTTTTATATCTAGACCCAGCATTCCCTGTAGTATGTCACATCCCATGTTGTAAGGGGAAAGGGGAAACTATTTCAGATATATCATGAAAGGACTCTTCAAGTATACACTTCAGTGAGTTCCCTAATACTGGGCTTTCTGGTAAACCTGTAGAGGACATTACAGATACTGAATCAATCCTTAAAAGCCCTCTCTGAGGACATGGCACAAACAACAACCAAGAAAAGTTGGTGGTTGATGCACTGAACATATGGGAGTCCTCTGTCCAGCTCAACATGAAAGAGTCTTTGAAACCCACTGATATTAGTGAGGCCCCATTGTGATTTTGTATTTTGTCTCTTTAAAGTTCTGAACTAAAAAGTTCTCTGTGTGAGAATGTTGCATCACTTGCGTCTGACATTTGAGATTGTCAGGAGTGTTTCTTGAATGGTGTAGCTTTCATCAACAAAACGCAGCACAATAGTCCATTAACTGCTGTTTCCTCAATAATATGCTTTGTTACCAGTTTCCTCACCAGCTCTATTATTTCATATTAAAATTAATGACTTATGTAGATTGCATTCTGGGAATGGTAAGGGAATTTTTTTCAGATATGGATATTTTTCTAGGATAAATTCAAACTTAGATAATAATCACCCACAGCCATACAATCCTAACACAAATGCAAATTTTTGTCCTTGCCAAAGTTTCTCACACATAATATGGTGTTGCATGTATGGTCAGTCCCTTTTGCAAGGCTGAAGCTTTTTGCAGTAAACATTACATTCACTGACACTGGCCAAATTGTTTCCTCCTCACAAAAAGCTGAAACTATAGGTAAAAACTATCCAGGATGACTTGCGATATGCATCGCAAGGTAATCTGGAATTTAACAAACTAATTCTCCCCAGGAGTAGTGGTGGTGGGAAGGGGAAAAAACACCAATGCACCAAAACTTTGCCATAGGGAAACTTGACACCACAACACTGCGAGGAAAATGTTTTGTGAACTGATTATACTAAGGTTAAATTGTTCAGGAAGAACATCTGTTTTTTCTCATTTACACATTGCACATACACCTCCACAAGAGTGTACTACTACTGCAAAATATATAAATAAAACCAACACAATATTATAGACATCCCCCTCTTTCTTTTAGGAGCTCTGTGAGTCCAGACAGTAGTGATAAGCTCTAGTTTTTGGCCTGCTGCCAAAGTAAAGCATGAATGAAATGAGAATTGAACAATGTGCTCTAGCTCTTTGTGTTGGGTGTCTATGGCTTAAAACACTATTTCTGGGAGTTCTACCAAGTCCCTGTGCAACAAATAAGTGCCAATACGGTCTTAAGACTAAACTCAGCCAGTTGTTCTCTGGTCCATGTGGGCTGTGTGTGCACCACTGCACGCATGCACACTCATGTAAACACACTGGCCTAACCATAGCTCCTTACCAACCCTTGCGGCAGACATAGCCTGTGTTTTTATCTGTCTGTATGTGTGCTGTCATACATCATTACCTGTGCTGGCAGGTGTTTTGCAGAGGGGAGCCTTACACTGAAGCATCAGTGTTGTTCAGCAGTGCACAGCGCTAAAAACAAACAAACATGTTGGTAAGAAATTTGCTGAAGGGAGTGACAATCTCTGATATGAAAAATATTTTTCTCATCTAAGCTAAGTAATTGATCTTTAACTTATAGGTACAGTGTGTAGAATTTAGTGATATCTAGTGTTGAAGTTACATGTTGCAGCTGAACACCCCTCACCTCACCCTCTCCTTCCAAACATGAAAAAGAAACTGTGGTAGACTTCAGTTTTCATAAAAACTCAAAAGGTGTTTAGTTTGTTCAGTCTGGACTAATGTAAAAAACATGGCGGCCTCCGTAGAGAGGGTCCCCTCGATGTAAATATAAAGTACTTAAATATAAAGGGCATTTTCTGGGGTAAAGAAAACTACAATTCATACAATTTAGATGAAATGAACTAGTGAAAACATCATGAGGATTATTCTACATTAAATTTCTGCCAATAGATCCCTTTCACCTAAATCTTACACACTGCACCTTTAAAGTATTGGAAAATGCAAGTTACTTTAGAAGAGAAATGTGATTCTTGGTGAGTCCCTGCAGTTTTCTCACATGTATAAAGCAAATTGTCAGAAAGAGCCAATGGTTGAGGTTATAGATAGATAGAGATATAGTTTTTTTTTTTTTTTTTACATATTTCAGTAACTTGTTTTAAATTCTAACCTACTGTAAAGATTTGTTAATAAATAATTTTACATTTCATGGAAGGTTCCTATGTTACATAAATGCAATGTTGTGAAACTCTTCCATCATTATTTGTAGCCCAATACAAACAAAGTGTAGCATTTTTAGTTCAATACTTGAGAGATTTCACTGTAAAAGAAAAAGGAAATAAACAGGGGAAAGAATGACAAAAAAATAATTGATGATGATTATAATTAATTATACAAAACTAGAATTACTGGCATGAGGTAGCAACAGTTTTTGAAATCTTCGAGTCCATGTCCAAGATATTCCAGACTTTAGATATCAAGTTCAAGAGGCCAAAACTTTAACTTTAAAGGTTCAGTGTAAGATTTAGGTGAAATGGATCTATTGGCAGAAATTGAATATATAAAATAAATAATACAATAATCCTAGTGATGTTTCATCTAAGTTGTACATATTGTTGTTTTCTTTACCCTATAATTAGCCTTTTGTATTTAAATACTTTATATTTACATCTTGAGCGGGTCCTCTCTACGGAGGCCACCATGTTTTTTACTGTCGTCGAGACTGGACAAACTAAACACATTTTGAGTTTTTATGATCAAGGCTACCACGGGTGTTTTCAGCTGCAACATGCAACTTCACCACTAGATGTCACTAAATTCAACACGAACGCACAAGAACGCACTCGTAAATGGATAGAACAACCCCAGGTTAATTCAGTCGATATCAAGCTTCGTAGATTAACATTTCGTTATTAGATGAGAGCCAGAAAATTAAAACATGTCCATATGTTATATATATCTATCTATCTATGTTGAATTGAATGGTACAGTCCACCAAAGCATCGTTGCTCTGCTCAGTCTGCGTGTGTCCGTGTGCGTTTATGTGCATGCATATGCAGCCCTGCCCTAATGGGAGAGGACGGAGAATCAGGACGAATGAGAGTGGATCAAAATGAAGCCTCTTATTTTAATATGGCTAATTATACATATCAAACAGGGAATTAAAATTAAAAGCCAAAGCGAGCTTGCACCTAATAAAGCTCCATTTGTTACCCTCTGGTCACTGTTTGAGCCTAATAAAGGAGCAGGCTGGACTTTTAAAGAGTAGCAGCTATTTGGCCGACACCCAGCCCTTGAGGAAAGCACTGCATTAGGGATTGTCATCCACTTTCCAACATCACCAACACCCATAAAACAAAATCCAGCAAAATGACATGGAATATCATCCTGATAATATGCCATTATTACCAAAACCTTGTATCCTGATAGAGGTAATTTCATATCCACATGAGGATATATGTCGTTACTAATAACTTGCTACTCTTGTTACTTGTTACTACCTTCTCTCCACTGTGTAAATTGGCTCCATGTTTTGGCAGATGTTTTTGCAGATGTTAAGATATAACAGCAGCTGTTTGTCTCCTTCCAACGTCACAATTCGTTGCCATATGGTGTGTCAGGGGAAAAAGCATCTTGTATCATTTGAGTCTGATGGTTGTTTATAACACACTTTCTTGGCATTTCATCCTTTCTTTGATTGGACAGACTGGTTGGAACCAAACCTGCAGCTGGTGCAAGAAAACTAAATCCTGACATGGGGGTGCTATGTTCGTCTGTTCACACCTGCCATTGAAATGTGTCCTGAACGTTTCCCCTGTGACCGGATCAGGTCAGGTCTCACTTTGCTTACAAACACAAAATGATGTTTTTATCTAGTCTTACTATGCAGAAGTGTTTGTTCTCAGTGCATTAATGTGTGTTTGTTATCTACCTATTTATCAATCTATCAAATCTATAGATAGAGAGATAGATAGTGATAAAGTGGTGACACACATAGAAGACACTGACGAAGATGTCAAGGGAGTTTGTGGTGATAAGAGCCGTCGACGGAGCTCAGGGTGCTGTAAAAATGATCACGTGATCCCCACAACAGAGTTAATACGTCACTTCCTGTCCGGTCTGCTCCAGCCAGCTGCTTCACCTCTCGCCTGAGGATTTGTTGCTGTTGTGAATGCGTCCATGCAGTGAACCTTCCGCTGCATTGTACATGTGTGAAAGGCAAACTGGGTAAACTCCAGACTCAATTCTCTAAGGTGTGAGGCCACATGCATCTTAGACCACATCCGTATGTGGTCGGAGGGATCTGATCTCACGATGCATTGAGGGTGCGTTTGGGTGTGTTCACACATGTACTTAGCATTGTCCACTTGTGATCAGACCACTCGGGACAGATGTCGATATGCGGGTCTGAATGAGCTCTTTGCTACTCTGGGTAACTGGCTACATCTTTTTAAGTTTGCATGCTGAAGAGACAGGGAGCACATAATGGGCTGAAAGGGGAGAGGGCAGGACATTTTGCCATTAGGAAATCTTTTCTAAAAATTACACAAATAATGAAATATCCAATATAATGTGTCTATCATAAAAATATATGATAATAGGTATTACATTCACTTGAAGTTTAACACTTTGTTATTGCCTATAGTGTTGGATAATCAAATACATTTCCTAACATTATATAACGTTCTAATCTGTCTGGATGTTTTGTGCACATGGTGGATTTTATTCAATCAAAAGGAAGAATCCTTTTTCAACTGAAATAAGCTCTTAAAGATTGAAGCAACACGGTGTGTCCCGTCTTCAAATTAGAGCAATCAAACAGTGAGAAAAGACATGGACAAATAATGAAGGCAAAACGGGACTGCAGAGTGCAAAGGTGATACAAGTTGAAAATGTATAATTCATGCAAGACTATGTGATTTATATCACCTTTTACATAGCCTGTTCAAGGCAGGAATGTTATAACTTTATTCCACCTCCATATAACAAGTACAAATGCTTAAGTCATTGCTGTTCCTCTTCTTGCTGTAATATGCACATCCTCATTTGGATCAGTGTAAACTAATATATATATACTGAGGAGTCTTCTTCATGGCAATATAGTGTCATCTCTGTTTAAAAGGGGTGTATGGCCTACCATGTTCCAGTTGAAGATTTCACTGACACACACACACATACACACACACACACACACACACACACACACACACACA